GGAAGGGTGCCCTAGCATCTCTTTGAAGTAGGGAATTCATTTTCCACTTCTCGATTTCCCTACTACTTACGCATGCCTTCAAAGCATCTCTTAGCCTAGTTGTAAGTCCTACCGTATGATCTTTCATCAAAGGCTTATATTTATTAATGTCAACTTAATGCACATGCCTTTTCTCTACATAAATTGACCTATTCAAGACAACAACCGCCCCGGGGTTGATATTACACTTTATTCAAGTTACCCTAAGTTATGAGTGGTTTAGCGTACAGACGTTAACATACAGACACACTAGAGAATAAGTAAGACCTCGCCCATGTCTCAGCAAAGATGGCCTTTTAGGGTACGTTTCTTTTAATCAATATATGAACAAAAGGCATCATAAGTGACAATCTAATAAAAGACAGAAAATTGGAAATTTTAGATTGAATTTAATTTAATTGGGCAATCATTGTTATTGTAGTAATTTAAGCTGAAATTGTTTAAGTGAAGAGGAAGTTATCAAAGTATATGAAGACCAAGATGGTGCGACCTTCCGTATGGTTGCAGTTATTATGGTTTATAAGCAGAATAAATCTTTTTTATGAAATCCACTGGATGTATCAATCTTATCGGCGCCCAGCATCAACAGAGAGAAAAGTAAGTACCTTCACAATAAGTAGCAATCAGGGCTAGTTCATGCTTATCATAAATATGCATAAATCTAGCTATACTAACTAAAGTAAAGAGGGAAACTGTATAGAAGTTGTTTGACCTTGTTTTCGCAACTTGGTCATATTGGTAGGAAACTGTATGTTTATAATTAGCCTGACCTCTGGTCTGACGCTGAATAAACTATAGTTAAGCTTCCTCTCATAAAACGACGTAACTTCTTGATCTGCTCATTAAAGGCCATTCTAATATCAATCATGGAAAGAGACCATTGCGTTACAATATGCGCATAAATGAAGAGCCTGACAGCAATCTTCTCGGAAGGATCCTCATAGAAGTCTAAATTATTTAGATAAGACTGTCGTGCGTGTGTGCAAAAGGAAAATCTCTCGTTCAATAAAATAATTGTAAATTAAATGGTTTTTTAAACAAATATGTGCATATAAAGAAGAAATGCTTAATGAGGTTTTAGGCGGGACACTTAGATATACTTAGAAATATTGTATTGAATATGAGAATATTTGAAAACTACAATTAATTCCCGAATGCTATGCATGGAGTTAATTAAAATAAAGCCCAACTAAAAAGTGAAGAAAATAAAGGCCCCTGAGATGAGTCGGTTGGAGAATCGAGCAAACCTACCGAGCATTGCAGACGGCCAAGGGACAGTAAACCGAAGAAGATAAGACATGTCGACTCGAAGGATCGCCGAGTTTTGTATACCGATCGGCACTTGCACGTCGCCAAGAAGTATGGTGAGGACGAGAGTGATGATTATGATGTTGGGAAGCGATTGAACGATGATGGTGCCGAGGATTTGCAGTGACGGAACGAGGGACGTGCTGTCGAGGTAGCTGAGTGTGAGGTGATTGAGGACGCAGGAATGAATAAGGCAGTTGATGAGGATAAGAGATATGAAGGGAAAATTTGATTCAATAGGCATCTAAAACGGTGTCAATGCCTGTTTCTTTTACGAACTAACTGCTTATTCTGCGAGACTTTATATTCTCTCGCCTAAAAAAAGAGACTGTTCAAAACGAGTAAATGCGCCTGCGAACTGCCGATAGAGTTAAGTAATACTTAATGACAGAGTGGTAACAAGTTTAATATTTATGCAGAAGACCAAGTTTCTAATCTCGTTCGGAGTTCTGATAAAGCAATTTCCAAAGTTATCATGATAAAGAAGCAAAATAAAAAGCTGGAAATGAAGAGTCATCATCCTCAGGCCAGGTTAAACTAAAATTTCGTCAATGTTTACCAAAGTCACGCTTAAGGACATAGAGCATGAAAGATGACGATTAGCAGCAAAAAAGTTAGCGAAATCGCTTTGAAAATCAGATAGGCAAATCGCTCTGACAAAACTAGAATCATTTGCAGATAAGATGAAAACTTAGAATAAATCGGTGAGATTCTTGGAAATATGATCGAAGAATAGTTAATGAGAAGTAGATTTACGACAATTAAAACTAGCGAATCAAAATAGACACAAGGCAATATGAATAGTATAGTACAACCCATCAAGCCATACCGAAAAGTGTTCACCATTAGAGTGGCGATGACGAGATGAAGGTTCTGTGGGCGAATGTCGGCACAACCACTTTCGAGAGCGCTTTGTTCTTCTTAGTCGAAAAGATCGGTTCTGGCTCTCGACTGCGCGTCCAAAGCTACATCTGGTGTCATTAGGAGCGAGGGATGCAGTTGTAGAGGGAGTCCGAAGACCATAAGCGACCCGCCAGAAAAGGTGTAAAAAGCGTGCTCGCCTTCTACGCATAATGCTTAGTGTATCTTCTGTCCGTTCATCGACCTCGACTGCCTCAGTTGCCGAGGTTATCGGCAAATCTAGAGGCGTCTCACCTGCTGACGAGTGTCGTGCTGAGGTCTTATGAGGGGCATCTGTCAATACTATAAGAGAAAAAGATGCCTATTGACTGTGGCCAAAAAATACACAGATTTGTGTTTTTCCTTAACAAGTGAAGTAGAATTACGCTTATAAATGCTATGCGACCAACTGTCCTCAAATGAGGATGTCCTCAACAACAAGTATTTCAATATCATTAAAACGATTTCGGTACTAGATAGAACGGTTTACAAATAAGTAGAACTCTGAATAAAGGTATGAAAGACAGAAATAGGGAACAAAAAAAATATATAAATAAGAGGTCTTTGGTAATACTCTAAAAATAAAAATCAATCATAAGATTCTACCACGTTAAGGAATAAAAGTTTTCAAGAGTCGTTTATGATTCTAAACGTCAGTGTAGTGTCCAAATATGTGGCTGGGAGCTAACGCTCAGTAAAGGCTTGCGATTCAAGAATATATGTTTACATAGCTGTTATGAAACTCTGGTATTTGTTGAGAAAATCGATATAGAGAATTCAAAAATAAGAAAATTTAAATGATTTTAATTTGAAGGAAAGGAGATGAGGGTCACCATTTAAAGTCCTATTGGATTTTATCAATCCATAATCAGTATCTATCTAAATCTGAGAAGCAGGTATAAAAATAGATGACGAAAGTAAATAAATAATTGGCTAATTATGATTTACGATAAAGTGGATTGAATCTTAAAAGCACGAGGGAACTATGTTAGGTAGATTAGTTATTGTGTGGGAGAGTTGCGTGGAAATTATGCTAGATAAAAAAGTTGATAGATATTTGGTTCCTTACAGTAGAAGAAGAAGTAGAGTCAATTTGTGGGTAAGAGAAAAAGAAATGGATGCATAAATATATATCATACAAAGTAAAATCAGTCGCAGAGACAGACAAACGTAATTTAATTTAGAAGATTGAAGTATCCTATGATAAAATAAGGAGGCGAGTTTGTGAATAGAAGAACAAGAAAGAATAAAACATGAAAGATTATATGCAGGCCAAAGCAAACGCATTGACATCTTCACAATGTACTGAATAGCACTGCTGTGGGCTAATCGATTGAATATAAAATCGGTACATAAAAGGATATATATAATGGCAGGGGAAAAAAGCCATTAGCTTTTAACAAGAAATATATAAATATGATAAACAATTATAAAAGGAAAAGCGTAGGAACATGTTCATAAGGATGATAACTATAGTACGTCATGTTAAGGGAGAAATTTAAGAATTAAATCAAGAAAAACGAGCATAACGCGGCTCGCAAAGGCAGGACTTCTTTGCATGGAGGATATCAAATTAGCAGAGGTAGAAATTACTATTGGAAAGGGTAAGCTAGAATTTGTTCAGCGCAATTCGGCTTAAATAGGACCGAAGAAATAAAATATTTAAATCTACTATAATGACGAGATAAATTTGACCGAGAATACATTAGATAAAGCTCCGGTTTCGAAACAAAAATACAATTTAGCAGCATCTTAATCGAAACATCCCAAAATTAAAATGTAACTTGTAATGACTATTAAAAAGTCTATGAAAACGAATTGGGCAAAACCAATTTAGATTATTGAGAAAGAACTCGTATTATAAAACCTTTCTTTGATGTTACCATAATAAAATGCTAATTGATCATTCAAAAGAATATAGTCTAAAGCTTTAAATTAAAAATCAATGCGGACGACCGCAAAATGCGACATGGTGGACTCTTGTTGAAAAACCTACTTTTCACAATAAAATACACAAGCAACAGAGAATATGGTCGATACCATATAGCAGTTGAAGTATTTGATAAAGAAAATCAATGGCTTTAAGTTAATATATAAAATTCTCATCAAAACTTACCAAATAATGGAAATCGTGGAAGGCCAACGTAATGAGACAGCTGGAAAAGATAACAAATGACCAAAATTAAACATGGAAATCTAAAGATTTTTTTATTAAAAAGGAAGCTGAGAAAAAAATATTGAGGCTAAGACGGACAGAGGTTAAAAGGCAGGCATAGATGTCGTTTAATTAAAGATATGAAGACCAAGATGGTGTGGCCTTGGGTATGGTCGCAGTCCCCTTACGATTTATAGAAGTGGGTTGACCTCGTTGTCGCAACGTGGTCTTTTTGTTAGGGTGACTTAGTAGAAGCACCTAGTCTTAAATCGTCCGCCCCCTACTTTCCTCAACGCGATCCCTTTTCCTCCGGTTTTTGACAGAACG